GGAACATCTAATTACGAATAGTAATTAACAGCAATAGTTTCAGGTGATGCGTCCCTCATAGATCGTGCCACAAAGGGTTGAACTCAATTATGATATCTGAAGATAGGGACAAGTGAACAGGACTGAACATACCACCGAAAGTTACCCTGAGAATTCAGTGACATGAATGTAAAACATTTTACTGAAATTATAATTCAAGTGAATTCACGGAATATTTATTTATTTACTTTTTCTGTGACAAACGTCCTACAAAACAGCTGCACAGTCCTCCTCGGGTATTTTATTCGTATGAGGAACAACACATGCCTTTGCCCCCCCTATCTCCCAACCCCAGAAAAAACCCTACATTTTTAAATGATTGAATANACAGAACCCCGTTAATATCAACACATCTCCCCGGTCCTAACAGCCAATCCACTGACATGCTTCGATCAAGTATGTCTGACGCAACAATTTTGCGCCTATTTTTATCAGCGCTATTGTGCTGCACACGAAGATGTACAGATGAATGATCCAGCTACGGAGACGTCCACTACCACGAACAGTACCAGTGAACAGGATCAATCTCGTCGCACGAAAAGCGGATCGCGTAAGCAAACGATGAGTGAGCACAGACCCAGAACACAACCGGAATCACAGTATTCATTGTGCCCGTTTTTTTACACCGGAAGTTTGGCAGATGCTGTCAAGTTGTGTGAAAGACCATCCGGGAGACCGGTAAGTGTGAAAAAATGCAAAATAAACGAGCATCATATCACTTTGAACAAAGGTATCGTTCCGTAATGCGTTTAACTTACGCAACACGCTGTATCAGTAATACTGGGGTTGAAAATGTGACAGTTTAATGTCAGGCATCGCGAAAATCAATACGTTTTTATACACATTCCTGTTGTTTTAGATTCGGAATAGGCTTTATTGCATCAATGAAATGCTTTCTAAATAATAGATTTTAGCATGGCCTTCGTAACAACCATAAAATGTTTTGTGAGGACCCATAATGTCATTTTTCAATTCCTGGTAGAGATTTTTCAGCTTCTTATTCAGATTTCCAATTTTTTTTCGTCTTGGCATTTATCGATACCGCTGATTTTAGGCTATCAATCTATGGTAGAGATGCGTACTATTAAATTGTTTGTTGTAAATATGGTAGCTAAAAGTGGAAATATTCACTTTGAAATTTTGGGATGTGAATATTTTGGGGGTCTTAGATTTATGCTTTATGATTTATATCCACGATAATTGAAACCTGAATCATTGGGGTTATCAGTCCAGTCTGTTGTTCAGTTCAACAATCGGATCACAAACCCCGTTGGCCTCAATGCATCCGTACACTGATTATGTTTTGTAACCTCGTTATGGGTCATCCAGTGACCAACACTGAATTAATAAATCAGAACAGCTTATCGAGTGCAGTGGAAACATAATTTACCGTAGGTGCAAGGAAATTGTGGGTGGATCTCGCACTACAGTAATGGTGGTTGAGTGGCAAAGGCCACCTAATTAGAGTTCTAGGGGACTTGTGATCGAATCCCGCTAACACCACTACCACCACCGGATTTCCCCATTCTGTGCTATATGGCAGCCCTTTGATTGACCGCTTCTCCCTTCCTGAAAACTGGTACTGTTCTCTATTTAATAGAAAGGAGGAAAATGAAAACAAAAAAACTGGCAGGAGTCTATCATTGTGCAAAGCCTAGGAAAGCTGTTTGGAACAAGCTATCCGAATAATTCCCACGTGGAATAAGCAACAACTATTGATTGAAACCTAGCGCAGATTCTCATAGAGATTAGTATGATGCTTGCCAATAGGAGTGGTTAAACTTACCTCCTATAAAACAGAAATAAATGTCAGCATACTAATGTTAGAGAACAAGTAAAGTTTTACAAAATTCTGAAAATTCCTCAAATGAACATGGTGTGGAAATTTAAATATGACCAAAATAAATTTACCTTGAATGGTTGGAGAGTCTAGGTTTGTATGTGAATAGTCGAATCACCCAAACGAATAATGAAGCGTATAAATGATGGCTTCGTAGAATGACACCGATGATCATTGATGTAAATGATGTTGCCTCCTTCACGTGTGCGGTTCACAATAGCCCTCTCTACATGTTAAGAAGGAAAGCACGTAATCAGATAGCTCAATCCTTGGTATCACCACATAATCTGTAACAAAATACTTCCAATGGGTGATGTTAATAATCAAGACAAGTAAATTCGATTGGTTTCCGAGTTAAGCATCAGTATTTAACTATGCTTCTTGGGTGTGAACATAAGTTATACACTTTTTCTGCGCGGTATGGCTCTCCACTCGCTTCGGTGCATCCTCGAAATTTTCAAGTTATTTTTTTCGCATTTTGTACGAAATATCTCTCTAAAATTACCACTATTTGAGGACGTGAGATCCCTTTTGAAACAGTTGCTGTTTTTCGTGAAGGGTACAACTTTAATCGCACAACGCCCATGGTAACCAAAAGTAACGTCGAAAGATAAAGTATTATCAAGAAGCTATGGTGTATAAGTTCGAGTGTGTAACTGCGTAGAGCACGGTAAAACAATTCAACTTGTCGTGAAGCAAACATCTAAGGATATCTGAGGGAGCAGGTGGCTTTTCAAAAATACCGCGGCTAGATACCTAATCAGGACTAAAAGTTCATCCCCACCCGATCGTCTCTCCAAATTGACCCCAAATCTGAATGGAACCGTCATGGTATGGTGCAACTATACGGATTATATCATCATCTAAACACGTTCAACGTGACTGCCATAGACTAATATTTTTTTCCAATGTCTAAAGATGACTCCGGCCTCATCAGACTATAGATCATTTGTCGCTAATTTTTGTACATCATAGACTTCGTCACGTGGTCAATGTGGTGTTCGAACGGTGCTGATTCAAGTGGTAGATGAAGGTTCTAACAGAAACATTACAATAGCATGGCTTGTACACGACCGATCGGGTTCATTTATCGAACGGTCGAATGGTTCAGCCGCAACAAGGGACCTGGNCTTGCCCAGATAACCCGAGCGAGAAACCACACCTTGCTTACAGCTGTGAGTCTCAGGCACGCCCATTGAACTTCGACTATGTAGCAGGAGTGCTATCAGCACTCGGATGGACTGGACGTAACAACAAGAGCATTACAAAACGTACAAGCCGGTAATCAGATAGTCTCGTGGTGGGGTGAGATTTTAAGCGCCGCAGATCGCGGAATACGATCCAATCAGATCGCATTAGGGGTTGGAGGTAATTTACTTGCTTAGGGTTACGAGTGAGAGGGACGAGACGATCAAAAACGATGGAGCAATCGCACTGTATTTACTGATTGTCTTGAAGAGCGCTGGTAGCAGTCAGGCTGTAAAGATCGTCAATTTATCACCCGGGGGACGTGTCCGAATTCATTATCACCACCACCACCACCACCACGATCACCTGAATTTCCCTATTTTCTGTATGGTGTATGGTAACCCTCCGATTATTTTCTCCTTAAAATAGCATCTTCTACATGAAATAAAAGGAAGGAGGAAGGTTGAGGAGTGACTGGTTTTCGTCATTCTTATCAGATGCAGATTCTACTTGTCCTTGATCTTTCGTCATCGGCTGCCGCTTTACCTCGCTTATAGTCACTATTCTTATCGCGGCAGTCTTCATATTAGCATTAAGGGTCTAGAAAATCAACCGCAATGACTCCCTAGACAAAATCATTCCTATTCTCTGTTCTAACTCAAAAGAACGCGCTCAGCCGCTTGTACGACTAGGTCGAAAAAATTTGCCACACCTCAAAACCTTGTAATCGAAATCAAAAGTTCTGCTGAAGTTGCGGAAGTCTACATTCGAAAGTGCCAACTTTACCTGTATGTGTTTAAAAGTTTGAACATAAAAATTTATTCCGTACCTTTTTGCTTACACGTTGTTTTCTGACAAGAATAATGACCATTATGGGTTTGGAATGTGAGTTACTTGAGTTACTTTAGTGAAATAATGCGTTTTTCAAATAGAAGTGTGATTTGACACACATTCCTATCGCACCCCATTTCATTTTATAAATTTCATTTTCACACCTGTGTTCTGCAGTGGCCAGTTCTTCTACTCTATTTACATAACGATGATAGTCCACACACTGGAGATTTTGTCAACAACATTTTATGCTCACTCCGTGAAGATTATAAATTCGACGATACCTGCATATGCACGACGCAACCAAACGGCCCAAGTCGTGATCGTTTTGGAGATGTAGTTTCCCGAGTTGTGCCGGACAAAAATGACTGTTTGCTCCCAGCCGACTTGGCAACAAATTCTACGCCCGCGTCAAGCAAACAAAATCAACGAACCTCCATGTTTGGGCACAAAGAAGACACTCAACAGATTTCGAATTGGGTCAATCCGGATAAAGGGACGCGTGCGTCGTTTGCGGCTACACGAAGGGGAATCATGCCATGTGACCAGTCGACTCAGACAAATAAACCAGATCGAGACCGGGACCCAGTGCCGAATGCGAATGAAAATGCCCTTCAAACGAAAGAAAAGAAGTACTCACCCGGTAAATTGGTCATGAAGACAACTCCAAAATCAACTCAACCCTCGAACGAACTGGAACAGAATGATTTGAAGTGTACAGCATACAATGCAATGTTTCCCGACTGGAATTATGCAACCGATTCCGATGAGCTTATCAACGCGGAGCCATTGCCACTTTCAGTGAATTATCCGGCGTGCGGTGAGCATGAGGACTTGGAAAATTCAACAAAAAGGGATGAGGATGCAGCGGGAAAATCCGACGTGAATACGGCGCATGGAACCGCTTTTAAGACAAAATCTTTTCGTACCCTTTTACTCGAACGTAGTGCTGGTCTCATCCCATGGGATTGTACCGATCTACGCGGTCGGTCGTTTTTGGCTGCCGCATTTCCTGGTACGCGACTGGTTCAATGGTTGACTGAATGGCATAAGGTAAATGTGTATTACTTAGGTAGTTTCTTCATTCAAATTCATCTAATTGTCACAGAGTTGAGATGAACCGACACTCGCTCAACCGCCTTACACCGACCCCACCCGTAATCCTTGACAGACAGATAGACAACTATGGACGGACAGGCAGACCACAAGAAACCTAATAAATCACCAATAATTTTTTTCATAATATCTTTAGGTATGCTCGATTTTCGAATTACCGCCTCTATGCGGTTAATAATGATATCTACACTCCATCTAAGCTAGATGTCCTTCGTCCCCACAAGGTTACTTATCCATTGTACCTCAATGGCTCAAGTTAGCTTAAAGTGTCCCAGTGATGTTCGTGCAGATATCGGCTTCAATCAGAGTTATTAAGTTGTGACGCTTGCTTGCAACGAAGGTAGACACCACCACTCGAAAGTGTTGTCAGCTAAGCTATAATTGTTAATCTATTTTTCAATTGGTCTACTACGAACAATTAAAAAACCATCAGCTATCCTGTCAGCCTGTAAATGCACTAGTAAAGCCTGAC